ATATAATATTTAAATTATTTGACAAAGAATTTGAGTATTATACACACTTTTAGGTAATGGTAATTTGTTCTTTAAATTTGTTAACTAACATCAATTCATTCATTCGTTTCAATCTTTCGTTTTATTTTTTACATATTAATATACTATAATATCCTATTAGACAAAAATTACACGAAGAGCGGCTCAGTATTACACAGACATTTCATGTAGCCATTAAAATAAATTAAGTTACACGAATTTTACCTTATCAAAAGAATATTATCCTTGTTAACAGTAGTTATTAATTTATCCTATTTTCTATTTTTAGTCGAGAAATTACTTTTTATCGTCAGTCCGTACTTTTAAAGCAGTATAGCAGTACATCGACTATTAGATACGTAAAAACTAATAAGGTAAAATCAGATTATGTCAGCATAAAAAAAAAATAAAATATCGTCAACTAATCATCTATCAAAATTAGGCATAAGTATGTAAGTACTGTAGAAAGTATCCTTATAGTGGTCATAGCTTAAGTGGTCCACAAAAATTTCATGTAGTACATCTCAAAATATTTTACGAATTTTTTCCTTGTACTAATTGTTAAGGTATAAAAGTAGAAATGCAAATAACATTTATGTGTATAAGTGTAACAAGTACTAATTGCAGTATGTTTTGTATAATATCTACAGATCTAAAATATCTTAGAAAATTAATGATTTACGCTGAAAAATTATCTTGTCGTTAAAATACTTATCGCAATCCGTATTGCACAAGAAAATTTATCTCCAAATGAATAACAAATTAGATAGGTACCTCAAATTATAAATTAAATTTTAATTTAGAACGAACCTGTCCTCACTATTTATCTACGCCAATGCAATGAAGAGTATGATGAAGCCTAACTAAGATAATGGGTACTAATTTTATAATATATATGTAGAAGAGTGGGTAGGTAGCATACTGTTGTCTAACTGTTACAGGCCCTCTGAGGATGACACCTTGTGTGTCGAAACGCGTATTAGGTTTCTAAACATTTTGTAATATTTTCGATATTAATCTTGTCTTATTCTCCAGGCCCTTCAGTCTTACATTCAATTAGTTTCCTATTCTTCCAGTATAAGGATTAATGATACACAAAATAAAATTTAATGTGCTGGAGAACGCAACTAAATAAACATTTAAGCGCAAAATTCCACAAAACGTTTAGAAACCTAATACGAGTTAGAGACTGTCTAACGAAGGTGTCATCCTCAGTTAGAGACTCTCTAAGCAAGGTGTCATCCTCAGTTAGAGACTCTTTAAGCAAGGTGTCATCCTCAGTTAGAGACTCTCTAAGCAAGGTGTCATCCTCAGTTAGAGACCCTTTAAGCAAGGTGTCATCCTCAGTTAGAGACTTTCTAACCAAGTGTCATCCTCAGTTAGAGACTCTTTAAGCAAGGTGTCATCCTCAGTTAGAGACTTTCTAACCAAGTGTCATCCTCAGTTAGAGACTCTTTAATCAAGGTGTCATTCTCAGTTAGAGACTCTTTAACCAAGGTGTCATCCCCAGTTGAAGACTTGGTTAGAGATTCTGGCGATGACACCTTAGTTAGAGTCATCCTCAGTTAGAAAGTTTTTAACCAATTAGAGTCCCAAACTGAAGATGACGCTTTGGGTGTCAAAACGTGTATTAGATTTCTAAACTTTTTCTGGAAGTTTGGGTTCTAAGTGTTTATTTGGTTACGTTCACCAGCACTGAATTTTATTTTTTTTCTGGAAATTACAAATCATTATACTGGAAAAATAAGACAACATTAATAAAGACATTATGAGTAATTAATTTATAAGTAAAACAGATATAGAAACATCAAAGTAATACAACAAAACATTCAAACTTACCTTAAAGGCACCTTTTAAGCTGATGGAATCTACTGTGAACTTCGAAAAGAAAGTCTCATTACCAAGAAAGTACAACAAGAATTGTTCATAAGTTCTAATTGTAATAACTGTAACAACGCGATATTCATAACAATTAAAAACCACATTAATTCTGAGATTTAAATAGGTACGAAACGTGTAAAAATGCACTCCACTACGACTATCACGAAACGACCGGACCCCGCAAGATCTTTCGGACAACTATGTATCATTTTAAACCGTAACAACACGAATTCGCACGAATAAAAACGCATGTCCTTATTCTTTGGGATACTGGTTAAGTAAACAACAGAAATGATGCAATGCTTTTTTAACTCTCATAAACACATAAGACTTACCACGAAAGAAAAGGATGATAAAGATGTTACGTAGAGAAAGATTACACACGATATTATGTTTTCGCTATTAAAGAAATTGAATTTAAAAGCTTTGAAGTTAATAACATTCTAAAAACATTCGGCTGTTTACTTACTTTCTGAGAATAAGAGTTTAAAAAGGTGTATCAAGGAAAATAAAACGTAAAGTGATTGGAATTGCTTCCTAACGTTTCGCTAGAACGAGTGGCCACCTTCTTCAGAAGCTTTTCCTCCTCTGATACTGGATATGGATACGGAAGGACCTCCGAAGAAAGTCACCACTCGTGCTAGCGAAACGTTAGGAAGCAATTCTAACCGACCATGAATTTTAGACCTAGATCATTTTCAAGGAGTAGTTAAAAGAAATAATGATAACTAAAGAGTAATTCTTGTAACTATACTTCTTGAAAATTGTCTATTCGTTCAAACATACTAAAAATTTAACAACAAATTCAGTTGTTTTTCTTGATTAATAAAAATGTTTCGCAAACAGTGCACCATTGAAAGTTTAAATGGTATTCGTAATTATGATTTTCTTGAAGTAAGCCTCAAGTAATTACGTTATTTCATTATCAGAGAAATACAAATTTTCTGATTCATCTTTAAACTTCAGTATTGTTGTATATGTTATGCCATAACTTCTTAATTGTACCTTATTAATATTATTATTACTGTCTAATATAGTTAATAATAAAACTGTTTGTGATGTCAATTAGGTGAAGCATTTATTTAATTGCACTTTTTGTAAATAGAACTACCTACTTGAAACGGCGTCTTTTCAATGTGTATATTTTTTATGAGACAAAACAGAATTTGTAAAACATTATTTATTTTACTAATTGTTATTTAAGAGATAAATACCACTTTTCAAACTTTTAGTATTAAGTACTCAACGTTAACTTTTCGTCGATAAACTATTTTTTCCTCTTNATATAATATTTAAATTATTTGACAAAGAATTTGAGTATTATACACACTTTTAGGTAATGGTAATTTGTTCTTTAAATTTGTTAACTAACATCAATTCATTCATTCGTTTCAATCTTTCGTTTTATTTTTTACATATTAATATACTATAATATCCTATTAGACAAAAATTACACGAAGAGCGGCTCAGTATTACACAGACATTTCATGTAGCCATTAAAATAAATTAAGTTACACGAATTTTACCTTATCAAAAGAATATTATCCTTGTTAACAGTAGTTATTAATTTATCCTATTTTCTATTTTTAGTCGAGAAATTACTTTTTATCGTCAGTCCGTACTTTTAAAGCAGTATAGCAGTACATCGACTATTAGATACGTAAAAACTAATAAGGTAAAATCAGATTATGTCAGCATAAAAAAAAAATAAAATATCGTCAACTAATCATCTATCAAAATTAGGCATAAGTATGTAAGTACTGTAGAAAGTATCCTTATAGTGGTCATAGCTTAAGTGGTCCACAAAAATTTCATGCAGTACATCTCAAAATATTTTACGAATTTTTTCCTTGTACTAATTGTTAAGGTATAAAAGTAGAAATGCAAATAACATTTATGTGTATAAGTGTAACAAGTACTAATTGCAGTATGTTTTGTATAATATCTACAGATCTAAAATATCTTAGAAAATTAATGATTTACGCTGAAAAATTATCTTGTCGTTAAAATACTTATCGCAATCCGTATTGCACAAGAAAATTTATCTCCAAATGAATAACAAATTAGATAGGTACCTCAAATTATAAATTAAATTTTAATTTAGAACGAACCTGTCCTCACTATTTATCTACGCCAATGCAATGAAGAGTATGATGAAGCCTAACTAAGATAATGGGTACCTATTAGAAGTGATGGTGTTCATGTTTGAATTAATTACAGTAAATTTCGTGTTGAGTAGAATTAGTTATCGTAAAATATATTTCTTTTGTTCCTGTATACTGACAGTCGAGTGATATCTCACGATGATTTTTGTTTAGATGGCGGTACATTTTTCCACAAAATGGATATGTGTCTACTATATTTACAGCATAATAAGCTGATTAATCGTTATTGTACTAAATTTTAGATTGTTTCCTCCAGTATCGACTAAAAGCGACCGAACTAATTTCAGACAAAACTGTACCGGTTAAAAATATGCTTACATAAAGGTAATCCAAATTATAGAGAGATTAATGAATGTTGTGAAAAATTAATTTCTGTATATGTACATATCATAAATGTAATGACCATGAAATTTAGTAGAACATTTTATGACGTTATCTGTGTTCGAAACAGTTATAAATCTATTAAATTTATCTTACAACAGTTTATAACAAGAATCTCTCTAACAGCTAAACATCGTATGTAATATATATGTATTGTAAAATTGTTCGAGTTACAATGTGTGATACCAAAAAATTGTCGTTTTCCACAACGATTGGTGGATTTGTTTTTGGCATGGCACATACGTACTTTAGATATTTACTTATATTAGGTATTAGAAATATAATTATGATATTATGAGGACTGCCTACGTTGGGATGGTTATAATAGTTAATTGTTATAATAATGAATTATTGTTAACAATATACATGTTCTTCTCTTTTCCCTAGCTTTGGTTTTTCTAATCTTATGTGTGCGTCTCTTAGTTTAAATTCAATAAATAATAACGGATTAAGGAACGAGACGATAAATATATAAATTATATACACAAAGTACTATTAATATAATAGTTACATTGAAAACGCAATGAGCAATCTTTGAGTTTTATGCCGTACCGGTTCACAACAACAAATTCATGACTAAATTATTAATATGTACTTCAATATAAATGCAAAAATATGTATCATCTTTTTTTCAATCGATTTAATCCAAGCGAGCTTTGTAGCTAGTCTTCCAAATTTCAGCTAGTGTCACGGCCGAGTGGAATCTGTGAAAGATGCACAACGGCAACGTGATACGTTGTATAATTGCCCATGCGAGAAAACCATAAAATTCCAATTGAATCGGGTTCGCCTCGACTTTTTGGGATTCGAACGTGTATATTATCCACATGGTTACGTTGCAAATAAGTAAAAATGTTACAATTTGTCTGCCTGGCTTTGAACGATCGTGTTCCGGAAGATGTACGCGACGTCTCGAAACGTCTGCTATAAACAGCAGTTGAAGAACGACCTACAAAAATATATTTTCAGGGAACCAAAACATCTACCATTTTGTTGAAGAAATAAAAACATAAAAATTATGACTGTCGTTATCTATTCTGATGTCTGTTCAAAATTAAAAATTATTTCGTTCTTCAGAAACAAAGTGAATTTCAATATCTCTCTTATGTATACGTTAAACGTTTGTTAATATAGCAAAGATTGTGGCAGCAGGAGGGACTATCGCTTTCAAATTGTAGGTCTATTTCTGAATTTAGTAGGAAACCAGTGGCGTTCTCTGGTAATTTTGTAATAATGTTCGAATTTTGATTGATTCATATTCTATTCTTGTAGACACTTAATTCATAAATGCAGTCTACTTCATATAAAGTATTTCACAACAATTATGAGTATGATGGTAGCCACTGAGACAAGGTTTTAAATACTATGTACCAATTCCAAGTCCATATCTTATTTCGTTTAGAACTTAGAGGTCTAAACTATGTGTGTGCTTCAACGTTAGGGTTCCATATGGGTAGGGTATGGAACCCTAAAAACGAAACCGAATAGAAGACCAAAACGTTTTACTTTTTATTACTTTTTAATTAAAAAAATGATAGCGTACGCTCGTTAGAATTATTTATTTACCAGAGTGCGATCGTCGAGACCAGAAATACCACTTCTGTTCCCGCCCTTCAATTTTCTATAGCTGTGCGCTCGCAATTTCCGTTGCCTGCTGAAGCTTTACTCCCAGCGCGCCAAAATAATTATAATAACTTCAAAAAATTGTAAAAGTGGCTTACCTGTAGTACTGACAAGAATCCAGTGAGCATGACTAGTAAGTTCGGTTCGTTGGTGAATGCATTAAGGGACCCTGCTATAATGCTGAATACAGCGTAAGTGAATAATCCAAATGCAGAGACTCGAAGCAATATATCGTTGAGGTCGTTCTGCTCGTCGACCCTAAACTTGAGCGTTTGGACCCTACAATTCAGGTCCGAAGACATGTAGCGCGTTCTGTTCAGTAAGCACATGGGATAAGGCCGAAATGAAATGGCAAAGCATGAAATAAAGAACAAAGATGCAATCACTACAAAGCAAAATAAAAGCGAACAGTAAGAAATAAAAATATTTTAGCGTTAGACACTTGAGAAAATATATACAAAACATAATTTCGTCGTTAATCCACTGAAATTATGACTAAGAAGCACAACATAAATTAAATAAATAAATAAATATACCAAAAGTCAAGGTGGGATAAAAGAATTTTATAAAACTGAGGCGTATTATCAGTTAATGATATAACGTACCTTACAAATCCGATGATAATCGCAAAAATACTAAGCACCATAAGTACACAGTGAGACACGTCAGCTAAGTAAATCGCTAATAATCCTAAATCGGGATGATGTATAAGGACAAAGAATAGAATCAGGCATATCAGGGAACCGACTAACATGAGTAGTCCAAAGAATAAACCTTTGGAAGCACCAACACAATCTACTCGTCCATGTTGGGCATGGGCCATTGCAACGGCCCTTCGAGACAACATGATTTCCAAACGGTGTTCCAGATCTTCTTCCGTCACATATCTGCTAAAAAGGTAACATAAAATCAAATCCGACACTTTTAAATTACTCCTTCTCATGATGGAATTGAAGATAACCCTAACTGACAAAACATGTAAACGATTCAGGTCTAACCAGAAGGGAGCTTTATTAATTCAAACTTAGTCCTATTACGACGAATGATATCTCACCTAGGATTTCTTCCAATGTGCTTCCACATCACGTAAATTACAGCAGCACCAATTAACGAATATTCAATAATGAATGGAAATAGATATGGCGCTGAATCTTGTACGATGCTACCCATTATATTAATTCTACCACAATTGAGTGGATTAGCGTTTAAAGCAGTGACATTGGATGAATTCGTGTTCCAGCTACTGATCCAAGCTTGAGGAAACATTTCGTCGAGAAAGTTTGTACCATTAAGAACTGGTGGATTATCGTCAGCTACTAAATAGAAGAAACTAGGATGTAGTTTGACACATACTACATATAAAAAGACATTTCCATTAATATTTTAAAATCCGCTAACCAAGAAACAAAACGATTTTCAAAAATATTCAAAAAAAATTGCCGTTTGCGTCTTGGTTCTATGGGTGGTTTTGGGCATGCATTTCACTATTTCCTCGAAACTATAGACATATTTATTGCGACATGCTTGTCAGTGATGTTAATAAGCGTACCATTGACTACATTCTCACGAAAATTACTGGGACTTCGAAAATCGAAAAAATTCTTAAAGTGCTTCGTGGTCGAAGTTGACGCAGTTGTATAAAGTCTCTTCCACATTCTGTTGGGCGTTGTCATGGAAGTTGTGTGATTGAAAGGCGAAACTGTTGTCGATGACGAGGTTGTTGGCATCATGGGTATTGTCCTAAAAGTCCTCCATAACGGTGGAGGAGTTGGAGTTGTTGTAGTGGTGGTGGTAGTAGTCGATCTCATAAGACCTTTAGTATTAAGGTGTTAATGGGGTAGTTACTGGCAATTGAGGGTGCTAAATGGTAGTTAGTAAGCGGGATGATACAAATTAATAGATCGTTTCTATTAGGCAACATTAAAAATTGACCAAACGGTGCATCATATGGTAGCAAGAAGAACTACCACTTCATGGAAATGTTCTCATAACTAATTTGTTGACGCTAAGTAGTAATATACTTAAGGGTATTCCTATAGATTAAGATTTCATGCACTATAGTTACAGTTTTGAGGAACACTTACGTCGAAGGGTAGTTGATGGAGTTGTTGAGGGAAAAGTAAAACTGTGTAAATTTTTAACAGCTCTGGTTGTCGTGGAAGCGATATTTTCTAATGTCGTGCCTAATGTCGATGTAATTGGTTGTGCAGGTTTCACGGTGGAGGCTGCGATTAACAAGTGGTCGGGCACAGCTTTGTGCGTGCCCAAAATCGTGTTGGCATTTCGGAGAGTATGAATTCGTATACTCTCTGTAATAAGTGCTCATAAAAAAACATTCGCAACAATTCACAACAATATCTCCTTCGAGCGGACTGAGTTAATTTCCACAAGTTTTTTCCAAAATTGTCAAAGAAAGATTTCATTAATGCTAATTATTTGCAAACTTTGACATTTAAGAAGAGGTTTTCTAAAATACTGCTCGGAAAAATAATTTTCAGTCAATAAGCTGCTCGCTTTTAAGGAGTGCTTCTATATAAATAATTTGTCAACTCATAAAAAATAAGACATAGAATACAAAATATACCTGCCAGAAGTCCATCGTCGGTAGTTTCATTAATAAAACGTTTATGATACTGGGTAATTTCTTTTAGATATTCCAAAACCAGCGTCCTAATCCAAACGCATATATTCGTCGCTACAATATGCATCAGACCAAATCGGGCTATCACTTTGAACCGATGAATATTTAACTGAAATAACCGACTCATATCTAATTTCAAACCAGTAATGAGTGAACACTTACTCGAGAATTCATAAATATGAAGTACATTTGCATGAAAGTGAAAATCATTTGAAGTACAGGATTTACGCCACGAAGGATCATATAGCAAGGTGACGTGAACGGTATTTCGAAAAACGCTCCAAATTCCAAACCATTGTATATCATGGTACCAAGCCCAAACGCTACAATGGAATTAAAGCAACGGTGAGGATACGTACAATAAAATTTAGATATAATTTATAAGTTGGTCCTTTTTATATATGCCAATAGCATTTCAGTGTATCCAAAAAGTCAAAAAAGGAAAACTGTCCTGACTCCTTCGTAAAGTATATTAAATGTCCAATTTCTAATGAACATAGCAAAGACAGTGAGTAGTTACTTAGAGTTGAAGGACTATGATTTCTAGTTTTTATAGATTCTAAGAAAACTGTATCAGGTTATAACTTTTTTGGAGCAGTTGTGCCGTAGGTAGTTGATGAGTTGATAGAATTCTCCTGATCGAGACGTTAGTCGTTGGCTTGACTCAACCATCTCATCGCCAAGGATGCATTCAGCCAAGGGAGAAGAAACGTCTGAATTCATTCTGATTTTTAGTTTTTATAGATTCTACGAAAACTGTATCAGGTTATAACTTTTTTAAAGCAATTTTGCTGTAGTTGATGAGTTGATAGAATTCTCCTGATCAAGACGTTAGTCTTTGGCTTGACTCAACCATCTCATCGCTAAGGATGCATTCAGCCAAGGGAGAAGAAACGTCTCAATTCATTCGACTACAGCAAAACATTCCGAAAAAAAGGTTACAACCGTGAAACCACCAGAACCACTACTCAATCTTTGTAGATATGTTTTTCAAGATTCGTGTGGTGTTTTAAATGTTTTAATTACTGTTAATACATTTCCTACCTATGGCTCCGATACGAAGAAAGAAGCTTCCGTGGCTCTGGTCGTTTTGGGTGGTTTTCCGTTTCCGCAAAGCTTTGTTCACCGTTCCAGCTTCGACATCAGTGACGGCGGAATTGGGTGGCGGGCAGGGTACCTGCTGCTGGTTGCTTTCCTGCCGGAGAATAGGGGGGTCAGACTGAAGTGCACCGATCTCGGCCACAGGGACCGGCACTGCGGACAGTCCCGCATCTACAACCCCTTCAGAGTTGCGACGATACGTGCTCTACCCCCGCAAACCAAATGAGAATAAGGACAAATAATAATAGAACAGAAAGAGAGAAGAAAGTAACAAAAAAAGAATGAGAAAGTGTGTTAAAAGGGTTGCATGCACCTCAGCGGCGTACGTCAACAACGGATTATCGTAGAAGGTGGAAATCCTTAAAGTATCATGTCATTACAAATAAATAATTTGAAAAAGTTTAAAAATTGGTACTTTCAGAAGAACCGTTTATTGTTTCCGAGTAAGTTGACCTTTTCAATGAAATATAAATTTTTATAACAAATTATCTTATGAAGAATAGACTCCGGAATATTTAATTTTTTGATATGGAGACAAACTGCAAATTAAAACAGATTTTAATACTGATAATATATATATATCAAAGAAGTTAGTATCTTATGTAAGTAAATTCTTTTGACAAATAATTACATAATATGGAGCGTATGTTTTTCTCTAAATTGGCATTTATGTTTGTATGATGAGCATAGTATAAGTGCGTTATTTCTAGGCGGTTGTTAGGTTTGGTTAAGTAATGTTACTGAAATTGAAAATCAAAAAATGTTTAATTAAAGAGAAAAATGTTTGACCGAAATATGAAATAATAATTATCTTAATTGTTGATTTGTAATTCCATTATCTTGTTGAAAGATAAGATTAAATGTAGATCTTCTAGGAATATTAGTGGATAAAGACTTGGAAAATCAATAGGTACAGCGAAACATACTACGAAAAAGAAAGTTCTACTACTACTACTACTACTATTAACTAATGTAAAATAGAAAATTAAAGGAGGAGTTCAAAGAGTATTACCATTTTTTGTTTAACATGAAACTCTTGTCAATCATATTGCTGTTCTTTTTCGATGTTACATATTATTGACTAAAATTCCGAAACGTTGTTAAAATTTAATTAATAAATTTCAATTAAGTAACGAAATCTGGTTAAACATTTAAAAGTGTTAAGTTCCTTAGGTACAATTACACTACTTTCAAAGGCAGAAATGTAGACAATCCGCGAAATGAATGGTTCATCTTAATAACATAAATTTTATGTTTTTTATGGCTTTTTATATGCATTGATCGAAGCAATACAATTGAAAATTAAACTGATGAAATTTAACCATTGTTTTTTCTTTCTTTTTTTACTTCCATTA